TAGCGAATCAGGAGAGAGTGGTTAGAGTAAAAACGGAAGAACGATTCCTTCTATGATAGGTCGGTAGTCCGGTAGAGTAGGGTCTTGTTACGGAGTATGAACATATGATTCTCACTTTCGAAAAGTCATTATTTTCACTAGTGAAAATAACACATTCGTGGTATCTCTTATTGGAAAAAATATAAGATGTTTTTATGAACGAATTTGCTTTCTTCTCATACTCGATAATAATAATATGATAAACAGAATATAATACATGCTCTGTGGGAGATATTGACATTATCTTTTTGTCTTGAAAATCGCTACACTCACTCGTGAGAGATAACAAGGTGAAATAAACTTTGATTTATTGTTTTGCTAGTATTTTTCTGATGTTTTTTTATGTTATTTCAAAGAAATGTTGCCCAAGGAGCATCGATGACTATTGGATGCATTGGCTTTGCCATCAGTGGCTATGTTACCTTTCTGGTAAGAATCCTGGCTATGCCTGATTAATTTACTTACTGTTCCGTATGCTGTCATGTACTGGGCGGAGCGATAATGCGATTATAAAGCAATCGAGACGCGTGGATCCAGCTCCTGCAAGGACTGCGTAACCCCTCCTGAGAGCTTGTCCTATTTGATACTTTCCCTTATTTTGCGTTTCCTTTGCAACCATTTTTCTCTAGAGTGCCCTGCACCCCTCCTTCAAAAAACCTCTGGATCTGGCCCTCTCTATCATGCTTATTATAGAATCCCATTGTTGTTTTCTGTTTTTCCCAGTCTTTTCCGATTGTTTGATGTTTGCCACTTTGCATTTTATCAATCCTTTCCCGGTCGAACGACCAGCAAATTTGATCACATTTCCTCTCTATTTCTTCATATATCAACAATTACGCAATATGGTGTACATATATACTTTGAGATTTCTTTTTTTAATGAAGAAAAATGCATAAGAATTTATAGAGTAGATTGTATTAAATCCAGTGACATATTTGACAGCRTTTCTGATCTAAACTCATTTTATCKTCTTTCTCTCCAGGTTCGTGTCCATTATATTTTACCATATGCAATCATGGCAGTAAACGCGCTTGTTGCAGCGTCGCTGTGTCTAATCTTCCTKAAGGAGACAAAGCACATACCCATACCTGATGTGTTTGCTAAGGACAAGAGCTGCTACGATAAYAAGGCATTCACGATTTCGGGTAACGAAGGTGTGGGTAACATGGTCTGCACCACGTCGGACGAAACATCAGCTAGTAAGAAGTCACGTGATCAGACAAAGAGTGAGCAGTGKCGACAGATGACGTACTTGTAATGTCAAAAAAGTTGATTTTTTGTTTTTTTAACATTTTCTTATTAAATTTTAAAAATAAACAGGTTTCAGGCCGGTTTCAAACTTCTATTAGCTATGTTTACATACTTGGCTGTCAAATTTCTGGCTTGGTTTTCTGCATACAAAAAAGTGAAGAGTAGTAACTTTARACAGGACTGTTTTCAGATAATAATCAAAATAARATCAACATTCAGTCTGTTTAACGGTCGTTTAGAATAACCCGATAATTTCACAAGACAGGGAAGCATATTTTACAAATTCCACGCATGTTTCACCTCTAATGTCATTATGAAGATACTGAGCATTCTAATTTAGCATTTCAKAATTACTAGTTGATGACGAGTACGGCAACATTMTCACGTTTATTAGAATTGAGCCCACATGCTTCTATTCGTGTTTCGTTAAGCTGCGGATAAAAAGTCAAACAAAACGTTAATCATGTTTCAAGACATTTTTTTAACTTTTGTTAATAGAATAATAGGTGAATTTAATTGGTTTTAGGAATATAATAAAACTAAGCGGTGTATTGTATTTGCAAACATTTTATTTGTGGTGTTACTAACAGCTTTAAACCATCAAATGAGAGCCAAACCCTGTTTCYCTTTTTAGAGCAGGAATCATTATGATTGACATTGGTAATTGAAATAAGTGAAATTGATSTATAAGATAAAATTCGTGAGACTCCTTAATGCGCATGTTCAGATATCACTGGCTATTTTTGCTATTTTATTGAGGGTTGTCCAACACTCCGACATGACACGGGTTGACAAATGTATTTGACGGGTTGACCATGTCGCTATTTAAGCAGTTTTGTTTGAAACCTCCCCACCCCAGGTTACATTTATTACTCATGTCCATTGGTGGTTATAGATCATGCCACTTA